TGTTTTGTATATTTTAGACACGGGTTTCCTTCAGTGGTCACATTGTATGTGATGGATATGGGGGTTCTAGCCCCAGCAATCGACGTGAGTTTATACTCCGATTTCTCAAGTCCAGCCTTTTTCTCTTATTGAATGTACATTTGTTTTTGCTAGAAAAGCATTATTTCAATTATCCGGCTAGAATAACTTGAACTCGCAATATTTCGGAAGACATATTCGCAATCTATTTCGATTTTTCCGGTATTTCGACTCTTCTTTCAGCTGCAAATAGCTGATGACGTTATTGAAGAAGTATCACAAACGGATGCTCGTACATCGTCATCTCCATACATTGAGGTCAGAACTGAAGTTGATGAAGAAGGACTTCAGCCTTTGCCACAAAGCTCATCGAATCAGCTGGTACGTGCGAGCCTTTGACGATATACCTGTTTATATATTTTTCTTTCTTTTTATTTTTTCAATGGGTGTCTATTTAGAATTACCTTGGTAATACTCTGAATCATCTAGTTGAGAGTTTCTTTTTTCAAACGTTCACAGTTTTCTTTTTGATATATGTTACGCATTCCGACCTGTCTTCTATTTATTTGTTTGCTGTCGTTATCAGATGGAATCACAGATAGTTGTTTACTTTTTCTTTGGCTCTGTACGACATGAAGAGTATTCATAGCAGATGACTAGTTCTGGTTTCTGTTTGCTTCGATAGGAATTTCGACCCTGCCTGTTTTTCTCAACCATGAAGATTGATTTTGGAACATGTCGGAAGCCTAAGGGGTTCAAAGGTAGCAAAATCTGACTTATTAGTGTTTCACCAAGGTGCTAGTCGTGTATCATAACATTGACGATGAAAAAACGGGCACGCAGTTCGACCTTGAACTAGGGTTGAAATTCTTGTAATATTTAGTTGTCTTGTGATTTTCATAGTCTGTTATATTCTAAAACCGAAGGAGTTTCCGAGGGCGAGCGTATTCCAAGTATTACACGTCCCAGGAATTTTTACGACCTAAATTTTGCAATGGCGCGATACTTTCTCGAGATGGGTAGCGTTATCATACGTCAAGATAAAGCTTTCTTGATATGGGATTTTGCTACCGAAGCAATAAAATGGGCTTGACGTTAGTGAAATTGGTTTTGAAAAACATCCTCCTAATTCTGATATGGTAAAGATTCGCAGTACGATTATCTGTTGTTCAGAGGGAACTGCCCATTATTACGACAGATCCTGTGATTTCTCTTTTCCCTAATATCTTTGGAACTGATTTTGTTAAAATATATTCCAAAAATAGATTCACATTATCGGATTTTTGTCGATATCTTTTTTGTTTTACAATGTTCCAAAGAAACTACAAAATCTAGTCTATACTTTGCTCTATTTTGCACTGATCTCGATAAGAGCAAAGCACATTTACGTAAGTGTTTACTCGCGACTATCAAAGGGCACCATTACGATAAAAACAGATGAAAAAGAAAGTACGTGCCTAGACAGGTGTGCATTGCAAGAGCGGTACTAGGCCAGGGAGAAGAGATGATGGAAGAGGTTCTATTTGAGAGATTTGGTAATTCCAGTGCTTGACAGCACACTAGCAATTGGTTGCATACTTTTGGATCATATGGGCCAACATCTCGTTGCATAACTCAGCGTTGGGACTCATCGAATGGTCGAGTCCCTCGAGTAAATAGACAAATAGAGTGTTCTGAACTGCTGTTGTTGCTTCATAATCAATTTTTTAAGACTTTTTTCCCGAAGTAACTGTTATTCAGTTCAGTTTCAGTTCACTCGTTGTTTTCTAATTGTTGTCGCATTTGTTATTGTGATTAACTTCAATATTACGTTCCAGAAGCTTTCGGTTGGTGGTGAAGACTCACCGGAAGAGGATGACGAGTACAATGATCTTAGACATAGCATTCATATGTGGCATCTCCATGGACCAGAAAGCGAAGAGGTGATTGACACGGGCGGTTTCTGCTACATCTATTAAATACTATTAGAAAAATTTCTCAGTAGCTTTGTCTACTACCTTCATAAGTTCTTGGTATGTAATTTTCGCTTTCAACGTCGAAGTTCGGATTTCTTAAAGCAGGAACATATCGCCTCATGCTGTATTATTGGCGTCGGCCGAAAGATAGTGGAGAATCTAGTTAGTTATGTCCCAAAGAGGAGTTAGCTGCTGAAAAAAAGACTTCTGGACTTTGTAGCTTTCACTATTGGTTGAATATTCACAAAAACAACTTTGGATGACTGTAACAGTCTCTTTAATGAACTGTTTCTTTGACTTGGTTCTATATTCTTGTCCCTTTACTATCTGATGTGTTACATTGAGAGCATGTCGTTATTATTCGAAGACTGAGACATTGGGAAATGATTGTTTGCTAAAAAGAATCTGGCACAAGTACATATGTTTTTCCGTTCCCTCAATGGTTCAGCCCTAGATTCGAGCAGGTTTCCCTAAGTGTATTGAATAGCGCTAACAATATTTTCTTCTGTACAACCTATCATTCCACAATGTGCGTATTCCTTTTCGCCATGGTGAAAAAAANAAAAAAACGGAAACCTATAGTGAAGGCCAGATAGTTTTCTTCCATAATTTAAGTATAGATACCTTTACCGATTTGATAACTTTCTTCGATGTGGAAATAGAGAAGTGGTAGATGGAGGAAGGTTCATGAGAGGTTCCTTCTTTTGCCTTTTGCTCAAAATTAATCAAAGCGTGAAGTGATCTTAACCGCTGAGGAAGGATCTCCTATCCTCAAAGTGAGAAAGTGAGAGCTTTCATGGAATGCTCCGTACGTCGTTTCCTTCATTTTCTCAATTTCAAGTTTTTTTCTCGTCTTCATTCCCCAATGTCCACTTGTGAATCACTTTTGCATCTGTAGCAAAGAAAAAAAAGGTGCAACGGCCAACTTTCTCGCACCCTCAATCTATCGGATGAGTACTCTTTCAGATGGAGAAGCTTTTTGAAGGAACGTTTTTTCTGATATCACTTTTTCCCCTGAATTTACTATGTCTAAGTTTTGATCTCAGCCGTTTTCATCTCGAAGGCTTATTTTTTGAGCCGCTATTTTATTCCATGATTTCGGCGATAAGGCTTTTCAAATTTGAAGGCAATTCTTGACTTAAACACTGTTTCATCCATGCTTTCAGTTTGTTGAAGAAGTTTTCTCTGAAAAAGGTCCGAAATCTCATAATGGCTACCTCTTTGGTGCAAAAATTGGTGAAGGGTCGTATGCAAAAGTGAAGGTAAGCAATGTTTCTGATTAAACAAGGAATCGATCGAGCTGTAGTGTTGCCATTTTTAGGAAGTCATTGACGAAACGACATTAGTACGACGCGCCGTGAAAATAATCAAGCACAATCGGTTACGGAAGATTCAGAATGGGCAGGAAAATGTGGAGCGAGAACTGCGGATTCTCAATAAAGTAAAGCATGAGAATGTCATCCGATTGATTGAGGTAACTCTTCACCAGATTTTTTTAGCAGTTTCTGAGATGCTAAGTTTCAAAAAGTTAAATCTCCTTTTTTCAATCCCTTGCTGTTGAGCCTGTTCCATCGTTGTGGCGTTGGCTTACAGTTCCCTTTTTTCTTTGATACTACACGTTGAAGTAAATCTTTGGTAAATACGATCTGCTAAACTCAAATATCAACATAGGTGTTTCGGCGAGAAAACAAGAACAAACTCTATGTGGTTATGGAATTCTGCATGGGCTCTGTACAACAACTTCTTGATACATCCTTTGAAAACAGGCTCTCTGACGCGGATACTCACCGGTATTTCGTCGATTTGATAAAGGGGTGAGTTCTTGGCACGCTCATTAGGAGAATATCGAAAAGGTTTTGGAGGAGTTAATAAGAGGCAGTAAGAACGTTTTTCCGAGTGCTAGTGTTGGTGATGCCTGGCATTCTTTTGTGCTAAGCGTGAAGAGTAAACTTGGGGTTATTCACAGAGGAATATGTTGGAAATAGTTTGATAATGTTTTGTAGAAATGCTTTCAAGTAAGGAATATGCTATGCATTTTATGTAATTGATCGCTCCGATGACAAGTTTGTTTTTCCCTTCTTCAAATACTGTCTTGCAGCCTCGAATATCTCCACTCTGTTGGAATTGTTCACAAGGATATCAAACCGGCTAATCTCTTAGTATCGTTAGATTACACACTAAAGATATCCGATTTTGGAGTTGCTGAGGAGTTGTCATTATACCAGGTAGGATTTATGTCATTATTCTAGGTATAAATTATCGTTTCTTCGTTGCGTCACTGCTTTATACGAACGATTTCTTGTACGAGATGCATGACGCAAAGTAGCATGGCTTATTATTTTATGCCAAAACTTTTCCTTTTTGCAAGTTTTCCACTCTCTTATTAGTTAGAGTTAGATTGTTTTGATGGTCGTCTCAGTGTAGTGTTCCATAACCTCTCTGGTTTAAACAAACTCAAGAAGATAAAACTTCCGAAAATATCTTCACGACATTTATGTGGTACAATCTTTTTCGTGGCGCTCGTACTTGGGTTTACCCTAGGTAATCGGTGCTTCTTCGTAATTGGTGATCTAAAGATCGCTACAAGCCCTCTCATTAGCTTTAATTTGATACTGAAGTTTGAAATGTGCAACCGATAAGGAGTGTTGGCACTACACGGTAGGCTAAACGGTTTGGTTTGCAAGGCTTTTTAGGAGAGTTAGCAGTGAACTGCGGAGTGGTCAAAAATTCGAAAATCCCAAAATATCATGAGTTTGACAGTGTTTTGACGAAATTTTTAAAGCGTTTACTTTTCCAAGTTTATTATTTTCAAGATTAATTTTTATAACTTCAGAAAGACGATTTATGTCAAGTAGTACAAGGCACTCCCAAATTCCAAGCTCCCGAGCTGGTTTCGGGAAATACCGAATGTTATAGGTAGGTGCTGTTATCTGAATGACAGTGTTGTTATCATTTATGTGACTTTTATAATGCTAGTTTGTTCAGCGGTTTTGCGTCGGATTTATGGTCCTGTGGTGTTACACTGTACAATATGATCTCAGGGTTGTACCCTTTTGAAGGAGCGGTAAGTATTATGGCCAGCGCTTATCAGAAGCTACGATTCTATGAGATTAATACTATTTTCATAGGTGATTATGCGGCTTTTCGACAACATCGCTCACGCCGAGTTAGTGATGCCAACGAACGTGGAACTTAATAAAGATTTAGTGGTGTGAGTTTTTTTTTTGACTTTATTGTTGGTTACGATGTGGATCATTCCATCTTCTCTGGTGTGATTTTCCCTTCTTTCCTTCAATTTTGGGTGGGCTGACCTCAATGAGGATCAGGCCAGGGAATGCTGCTCTTACCTCATCATTACACACTACTTGTTTTTGTTGTCTGAGAAATTTCCTTTTTTTCTCTGTTTCGACATTTGCTATGAGAGAAATTTATACTGTTATGAGTTCTGTTTCGAAAGCGCTGTTCCAGCAGGTCCCTATAATTTTTTGCCCACTTATCTAACAAGGAAGCTTTGTCGGCATCGCGGTCCCACTTGATTTTGTTAGGGCTAGAGATCCTGTCCTTTTGCGGATTTTCGTCTCCGGTTTGTTACTAGAAGAACGGCCCTCATCCTGCCTCTCTTCTTATTTATCTCTGTTGCACTCAGTTTCTCTCTTCATCGACTCTCGTGTTTTTCCTCAGACCATCTGTTTGTTCCTTTTCTCCTTTGATTTCTCCTTGTAGCTGCCCTTTTTGAAAGTGAGACCGGCTATCCCACCCAACAGCTGCACTGCATCTACTACCCATATTAGAAACCCTGAAAAGAGTACCTTGAAATATGGCACTCGTTTTTCTTAACTTTTCACTCGGAAACAGAGTAACATCTCCAGCACATTCAAAAACCAGGTTTATAGGTTCAAATGAAAAGGTGAAAAGTATCGAACTTGAAAATTGAAAAGATTAGTTCATAAAGCCGCACACCATGTGCTTTCGGCATCGATACCTTGGCAGAATAATTTTGTTTTACCTTTTTTTCCACAAAGTTTTGGAGACTACGTTTCACCTAACGTGCAGTTTGCGTGTAGGGCTTCAAGAAAAGGAAGATCATTCCGTTTCATAATAATGCAGTATGGTAATAGAGACTGGGAATGAAGTATCACTCAGAATATCGTTTTGTGCCAGTCATTTTGAAAGATCTGATCTGAACTTGACAGGAACAACAGCCGGCTCCTTTCACGACTATGATCAGTGCGAGCAATATGAATTGCCATATATTACCACCAAGTATCACTTGGCTGTTTTTTGTTCTCAAACTGATCGGAAACAGCAATCATCTAACTATTTTTGTGCAGAAAATGTCAATTTTGGTTGAGGAAACGGTGCTGTTGTCCTGCTTTTTGTCAATCACTGAAAGGGCAGTGGGTTTGGATTATGCTGGATCACCCTTTGTAATTACAGTGAGATCATGCCCTCTTCTATGTCTAGAATGTAAATATGTTGACTTAGCTATTAGTAGGAAAAGTCATTACCTGGTAGGCATTGGCGTGATCTCTTTGTACTTGTGTTGATTACTTGCATCCTTATTCGATTTCTCAGCATCGCAGGCAGAGTAGGGATTGCTGCTCTTGTGAAGGTTCCGGGCTGAGATTTTCGCCCCCATGCGTGTTTGTTTGTGGAGTAATAGGTTTTGTAAGAGGGGAGTTTTGTCTTGGGGTGAAGGAAGTGAATTTTCTACTTTTCCCCAACACGTTTACTGTGAGCTGTTTTATGTCACTTGCACACTCAAGGTAAGCTGTGGAACTGTTGGAAGAGGTCAGAAAGAACTCAAAGCAAACAGTTTATTCGGCCTGAGCATTCGATCGTCTAGTACTTGTTATGGTTGACTCGAAAGTTCTTTCTCTTGAAGAAAGTGGTTCTATTTACATTATTTCCTTATTTGTAGATCTCGTTTTTTTCCAGGTTGTTGAAAGGTTTGCTCACCAAAGACGCAAAGAAACGGTACACGATCGAATGTGTGAAGCACAATCCATGGCATGCTCGATCTCGTTCAAAAGTAAGTACTGACAGATTGTTTGACCGGAGTGATAGTTATTAAATGAGTTTTTCTTATATTTGAATGAGAAGGAAGTAAATGTTGCAACTTTTTTTCATAAATAGTTTGAAGTTGGATTCATCTTCTTTTTCTTCCTGGGCCCCAGTCCCACATGGAAGTGAACCATGTTGGAGCGGGCTGTCCCGTTAGTATGTCTTCTCAGAAACTGTTTTTGAGCCCACTGAATGGATATAATGCTGTATTCCTTGTCTTCGATTGTGATTGGGCTCAATATTCTACAGTCATTGGAGCTTTCAAAGATAGACAATGATAAGTGATTACTAGTTCCGTGAGGATTAGAGAATAGTACCAAAAGTTGGAGAAACGTTCCCGAGATCGTCTGTAATCCGCTGTCACATCACTGGATGAACACTTCCAACTGGTAACATTCCTGCATTTTTGGGGACAAAACTCGTGTTTTGGGCAAAAATTCAACAGAGGTTGTATTTTGATGAGGATGATCCTTTCAGTTTGTGGAGCGTTCTGGCTTCTCGTCGACTTCCATTTCAAATAAGAGTGGTGTTTCCTTTCATCCTGATTTTGTTGATTTAAAGAGTTCGCATTGTGAAAGCTCAGTTGAATTCTTACTCTTCAGCTCTGTCGCTTTTACTGTTCGCTTGACAATTTTTGGAGCAATTCAAAAATATCACGTCTAATATAAGTCGTTTTCAAAGAATTAATTGGAACTGTACCCATTTTGTTTCATCTCTTCGATAAGTACCTTTTTTTTGAATATTTCCAATTTAAAATATGATTGTTTTGAATGCGGAACGAGATGTATAAGGCGTTGAGATTATGGTGACAATTCCAGGCACCCTCTACCAGCGAGACATCCAAACGAGGCTCCGTACAACGTCCGCTCACTGTTTACCCAGCCCTGGAACAGCGATTTGGACGGGTACCTTCAGATCGAATTATGACGGAGGTTGAATTAGAAGGTGGGTGGTAGAATCAATTATAATTTCCAAAGAATAACCTAAAAACTTAATTGATTTTCTTTTGTTATTTACTTAACCCCGATATATGTCGGGGTAGAGAGGTATCCAATGAAGGAGCCGCTCATTGTAATAGGGTCTATCGACGAATTGAAACGCTCTTCGCAGACTGAGTCCCTACACAGGAGGTCTGCATGTCAACATATTACTATTGATATAAAGCCCCTAATGAATATAGTAAATTTGCTCTCGAAAGCCCACGGTGATGTATTTTGGCCTCATTGATACGACTTTGAAAAGTAATTTTTGGTTAGGCTCTAATTTCTCTGAAAAACCTAGTGTTAATGATCTGTATGCCATTCCCTCTATGAGGGGTAGGAAAGGTCCGTCGTTCGAACTAAAGACAGAGTAACATAACTGAAAGTAAGACTCGGAAGTATTTGTTGACATAACTTTTTGCACTGAGGGCCTTCCAGTATGTATGTAGTTCTTTTGAAAGCATTCAATGAAAGCAATCTCATGTTTATGTTTATTCTAATATTTATGTTTTTTACTTTATCGGTTACAGTAATGCAAGAAAATAACCTTACAAGCTGATTCAAGAAAAACATCGTTTTCGTCATAATTCGATAAGTAAACATCCGCAAGGTAATATACCTGATAATATAGGATCTGAGTGGAATAATCAAGAAAAGGACCCTACTACTAATAATAATAATGTTTATGAAACAGGGGGACCACCATATGGAGGTCGCTTAGTTTCTGTTCACAGAGGAAAAATTTCGACTTGGAGCTAACACGTCCTCGTCCATGATGGTATTAGATCTCTTCAACAATCCAGGTCTGAAAAAAAGTTTTTTTTTGTCTCACTGCTTTCATATTCTAACCTCTTGTGACAGAGTGATTCTTTCGGGTTTGATTAGGGCTTTCCAGGGAGCGTCTTAGTTATGTTTCATAGGGGTTTTTTGAATAAATTTTCGGCGTATTCAATGAACTGCGTGGTTCTATTGATGTACTATCTCCTTCACCATATTTAGAACAAGCCCAGTAGCATTCTTTAAATCTGAGAGAGATGAAAAGCTTAGTGGACTTGGGCAAAATTCCTTCTGGGATTTGACTCTAGCTTGAGGAGTATTCTGTGAGGACTACTTGTCTCTCCCCAAACTCATCCTCAGAGTACTGTAAAAGGAGTTCGTAGGTTAAAGTATAGCGACTGCAGCAGACTTTTAACAGTCTGGGATAAGAAATCGGATAAGTCCCGAGTTTGATGTGGCATGGAAGCTCTCTAACGTTCGTTGTGGTGGTCGGAAGCCAATGAAAAGCGGAAAGCATTACTGCATTAGTCTTCTGCACTTTTCCAACTCATTTCCCTTGCATGGAGTTATTTTTCCTTGCTTGCTCTTGGCCCGAAGAAGCGTGAGCAGTCCTATTTTGGGCTCACATTTGGCTTTTTTTACTTGATGACGTAATATATGCGTCCAACAATCTATTCGTCTTTCAATGTTTGCAATACGTTCGTTGCTTGCGTGATGTGATGTTTTTATAAACGAAAATCCATTCGTATGGAAATACAAAGCGGATCATGAACCAGATTTCCTCGCACTAATTGGAATCCATTATTTAACAATTTTTTGTATCTTGTTGGAAAGCTAGTTTCAAAGTGATTACCCTTATGTCCTGGATGTGGTGGCGCCAAGAAAAAAGGATCTGGATAGGTGTTGGCACCGGATGGATTAGTACCTCCTATAATTATCGATACTATACTATCTTCCTGCATCTTGTTAAATGTTACTTGGTTTATTTCGACTAATTTTTTATTCGATCCTGAAAATCACTTTTTCTAATCCGTTCATTATCTCTGAACAGTTCATTGTCTTCATTTCTACAGTGCAAGACGGACCTTACTTCGCCCATTGAAAGTGGTCGTTATGAATTGGGTTTTGAGTTACTTTTGAAGAAATACTACCAAGTTGTAGTGATAGAGTATGGTACTGCTAAACTGTTTAATAAATCTAAGTTATGATTTTGATCCCTATCTAAGAATTTTGGGTTGAATTTCATTTCCTCCGTTTTACCCGATGGTAGTTTCCAGTGACCATCCAATACTTTGCCGAAAATTGGGCCTAATGTTTTGTCATTTGTTATAGAGATCTTTTCCTGGTGGCTAAAACTATTGGTAATGGGTAGTAGTAAGATAGACGCCCATTAATTCAGATGGGTCTGGTCGACCTCCTTTGGCGCCACGCTGATGTGTTCCAGAAGTAGGAGGTTTTGGGTGAGTGACATCTAACAACGACAGGAATTACTAGGCTAAAAATTAGGTTAGAGCGGGGATTCATAGTTTTATGTCGTTACTTCCATCAAATCGAGATCTCCCCGTTTAGCTCTACAGTAACCTGAGTAAGTCGGTGGGTAACTAGGTGAGTATTCAGGTCGGGCCTGTGGTATAATTAATTTTTCTTTTTTTGTTTGCCTTTCTCAGAATTGGATTTTATTTGCCATACCTTTGGATTCGAAATTTTTAAGGCTT